TTGAACTTAAAAACGGCAAAAATATTCAAATACTGCAAAATACAAATAATGAAAGAAAGCAATCTACAGCAACAACATTTAAAATATGTTACAACAACAATACGCTTGTTCACTTACATTTAACGTTCAAGATTACGCTTCGGAGCGCATAAAAGTGGATAAGCAAATATAAAGCTCTCTCACACACACATTCAAGCGCTTATATTTGTATAGCAAATTAGCCGAGCTTTATAAATATTTACAAATTAGTTAATTGTACTGTACATAAGAGGCACATATGTATGTATGTATGAGCACTTATAATCGCAGGGAATATTTCGACGTAAGCAGATTTAGCTAGCAAAATTTTCGAGCAAATTTTCTGCAGAAAAAGCAAGCACCAAAAGGGAAAGGAAGTATGTGAGGAAGCTTGCAGTTTTAACAATGTCATGAATTTGTAAAATCTCGCAAAAACTAACAAGCTAACAAAGGGTTTTTGTGGGAGTATGCTAAAATTCTGCTGCTTGCAATTAAATACAGTGGAACACAGAGAAAGGGGACCATAATATTAAGAAAAATGAATAAAATAAAATTTGGGCTAAATGCAATTTTTATTTCTGGATTAGTTGATAAATTCGGCTCATTCTTTATATACAGTGTCCGATTATTTTTATTAATTCCTTTTTACAACATTTTTTCTAAATAAATATTTTATATTTTTAGCAGTCGCAGTACAGATTTGTCAAGAACGGGCCACCGCTTAACTCGTCCGGCGCTTGAATTCGAACGTCGCAAAGTGGATTGGCCAGTTCTGTACGTAATTGATGAGCGCATCTGGTTAGCATTTAGAGCAACAACTATGCGTAAACAATAGCAGAAACATCTGTGATGCTATTGATAGCCACAAGTTCTTCAGTGTTGGTATCAGCACTCGGTAAACACTCAGTAATTTAAAAACAGATGTATGTATGTATGTGTGTTTGACCAAAAATGTAAACTTTCTTGTACTCTGTAGGCGTTTGATTTTATTATCTGTTTCAGAGTTATTAGGCATACCACGCTTACTATGCAATACACTGTGGTATTTCAGTAAAAATATAAAAGTGATTGTATTAGGGGTGCTCTTAAAGTACAAGTTCGCACATCATTACGCCGATATTTTACTCCAATCTGGTGATCTTATAAATATTTAGCCTCTACGAACGATGGTGTATCTACAGCAAAAGAAACCGTTATTTTACTGTGCAGTGCATTCTTTTAGGCGGTTACTTTATACCATTATCACGGAAGATAACAGCACAAAAGTCGATGACCTCATGACGGAAGAATAATATACGCTTACTCCATCCAAGTAGCGCAACGTGAATACACTTAACAATACGAAGAATTATGAATCGTTTAATAGTCGTGAAAGCGAATCAAATTGGTCTGGTAGTGAACGAGTACAAGACGAAATGCCTCCTGCCATCAAACACACAGTCGTCACATTGGCGACTTGGTTCCCACATCACTGCTGACAGTCATGAATTCGAAATCGTCTATAATTTTGTCTATATTTCAACCAGCATTAACAGCAACAACAATGTCAGCCTCGAAACCCAACGAAGAATAACTTTTGCCAACAGGTCTCACTTTAGGCTGAGTAGACAAATGAGAAGTAAAGTCCTCTCTCGACGAACAAAAACAAAACACTATAACTCACTCATTGTTTCCGTCCTGCTGTATGGTGCAAAGGCTTGGACGATGACAGTACTGAGGTCGACGAAACAAAGAGCTTTACGAGGTATACGACGACATTAACAAAGTTCAGTGAAATAGGAGATAGCGGGTGAAATAGGAGGAAATAGGAGGAAGAGGAAACCTCCAAAGAGGAGAGACTAGCTCCTTCAACTGGCTACACTTAGAATATCTAATTGGCGCCAAACAGCGAAAAGGAAGAACGACTTGTAAACTCGGCTGTAATCGCGTAAGCGTTGTGTACACCAATAAAGTCGACAAATAATAGTTTTAAAGATAAATGCCAGAAGCAGGGAATATCCAAAATATTTGACTTCAATAAACTGTAATAATGGCGGGAAAGATTATGAAAAAAAAAACTACTCGACAACTCGGTGAAGAACAAAAAGGCCATTGGCGAATTCATTTAACATATTGACTATATTTGTCTTTACGTGTTCTTTTTGGTTTTTGTTTGCAAACAAAAGATTTACTTAATGAGATCATTGAAGTCGGTGGAGTTTGCAGACCAACAAGCATTAAGTTTCTTGAACAGATTAAAGAAGTTGGTACGAAAGGGCAGCTCTTGAAGTTCTTCTGAAGAAAGTTTGGCTCAAAAACATTGGATCTTCTTAGAACTTTTCCATAGAGCAAAGTAATGTCATTTGGGAAGGTCGAGCGGCTTCAGTTCAAGCACAAGCTGTATTTTGTACACTTTCATTTTAAATCCAAGTTTATGCGAATGGCACCGAATCGGTTATCTAATCCTCGTTAGAGTGGTAAGGGCCATTTGCTTGTCGTCGAGATCATTTAACGGGAGGCCCAGGAAACGTGCTGTTTCGACGGGGATTGAACAAAGGGAGGAGGGTATTAGATGAGTAGGGTTTGTGGGGCATGCAAAGAGGTGGCCAGTATCATGCGGAAACTCGTTGCATGCAGGACATACATCGGGTAGGTCAGGGTCGATTCTGGATAAGTAGGAGTTCAATGTGCTACAATATCCAGAACGAAGTTGCGCTAGGATCGCTCGCGTTTCTCGCGATAACTGGAGCTCTTCGTCTGCGATAGGTGGTGATTTGACTCCAAAAACGTCATTCACGGGAAGGGAGTCGGTGAAGGTGTTGATGGCTCCACTGTGAATGGCGGTCAGTACCTGTCGAAAGTCAGTTGCGTCCGAAGTCCGGTCGGCGTACTGTAAGATGTCGTTGACGTAGTCAAGGGAGGATCTCTCGATGCTCCTAGGAGGCGGCTCCGCTCCAAGCAGATGACTGCAAGGGTGATGCCTACGGAAACATCCTGTGTAGGTGTTCAATGGAAGACATCAAAAGGCATCCCGTCGTGGTCCGGAGTGCAGTATTCTGGCAGGTCTGAAGTTTCCTCATCTGCGTTCCACTGCATTCAGGCGACCATATTGGTACAACATTTCTTTGTCTTTTCCACATGTTCTGCCGGCTAGTGACTTGAGAATCTTGTTGCGGCTCTGTACATTGGCAATAATCGCGGTCGTATGGGGAGAGAATTAGCATGGTCTACCAAAGGTTACGTCTAAAATCGGAACGGAATCGGTCTAAGAACGGAATTTCGACGCCATCGACTGCAATATTAAGCTCAAGTCTATACTCCTTCGTCCAGTTCGTAAATATGGTCACTGTGGATTTGGTGGGGGAAAGTGTAAGGTTTCGTGCAGTGAGGAAACGAAAAAGGTCGGAGAGTAGTTGTTTACCTTCGAACACATGCCATCGAATTCATTGCCCGACGTCAATATCGTGCAGTCATCTGCGTACGAGGTTAGGAAAACCCCCTCTGGTGGTTGTGGAAGTTTCGAGATGTAGAAGTTAAACAGTAGCTTGGAGAGGACACAACCCTGCGGAACCCCGTGTTTAGTTCTTCTCAGTTTAGATGTTTCACCTCTAAATAGTACGGATGACTGACGACCGTTCAGATAGTACAGGGACCACCTCTTAAGCCCTGGAGCGTTTATGACGCTAAGTGCTGTGGTGGTACTGTGCACTTTACGGGATCCATGCTGGTGATTGCTGCTTAGTGTACACTCTCAGCTACCGCTTCTATATTTTCTTCACGGCGCGCTGGATATGATATATTTGGTCAAATACTATCCACAAATGGCTCAGTAGGCCAATTATCTTGAGCATAAGTTGACCGAAGCGTGCGAAATATATTCTTCACAGAACGTGAATTTTCGTAATAACGAACGCTTTGTAAACATAGTTCAGGCGTAAGTCTTATCTTAATGAAATGCCAAATAATACTGAACAAAAATAACATGACATTATGACGCGGCTCACGTATGATCTATAAAACAAAAAAAAACTTGGATCACCCGTTAGTATTAAAACAGAAGAGTAATGTGAAGTGAGGCAGCCAAAGCCAATCTTAAAGATTTGTGGCGAGAAAAAATGACATAGTTTTGATTGGCTAATCAAGAGCAGCTCTTGTATAAATCACCAACGGCAGTGTGAACGGGTTGGATTAGTGGATAAATTAAATATAATTTTAATTACTTCAAATTTTAGGAATACGATATTATTTATTCGTATGTCTCTTATAAGTTTTCTGGAAACAAAATGTATGGTTCAAGAACCGTTGTTAATTGTTTAGTCCTCGTTAATAATCTTAATACTTAGTTCTAAATGAAACCAAAAATCAATAAAAGTTACGTATGTAAGGAAGTTTAGAAAAAATTATTTAATTTTCATAATTAAATTCAGAATTGGTATATTAACAATTTTTTTTATAATAAATAAGCCAAAAGTAAGGCCAAACTAGCTCTATATTTGGATGATTTCGCTTTTGACGCAATTTGCATATCAGCCAAATGTCTCATTTCTTTAGTTAAACTATGTACAAAATTTAAAGACACAAAAAAAAAAAAATACAAATAAATTTGCACAATCCAAAAACGGTTATTCAAGGATAAATGCGACGGCACTTCGATTGTGAAAAGCTAACTCAAATGCAAAAGAAATCACGAAAAGACATTTTTTGACCACTTCAGTGAACCATTTCACGCTTATTGCCAATTGCTTATCGATTACATGTTAACTTTTTATAAATTTCTTTCGGCAATTGCAGCTTGCCGACCACGGGCAGCCAGCATTACTTGATATGCACACGCTGTAAGCTTGGCTACGCAAATTAGGCGAGGTCTTCCGAGACATGTATTGCTTTTATTTATTTTAAATATCAATTGAATTTATATTAAATTGCAAATGACTAATTTTACAACACTTTAGGTTTCACTCGCCAATTTACTTAGTTTTTTGAGTATAAAAGGTAGTTAAGTTTGCCAAGGGAAGCATACAACCTCAACACTTCCAATTGTCAAGTACAAGCAAACACCAAACAAAAGCAAAATGTTCAAATTCGTAAGTTTTTCAGAAATTTCACCGATTTCTTGTTTGTTCGGCGTATACAACTTTTATTGCATACTTTCAGGTGACTTTCGTTCTTGCCGCTGTCGTTGCTTGCGCATCAGCCAAACCCGGTGTTGTGGCACCATTTGCCGCTGCTCCCTTAGCAGCCGCTCCTTTGGCAGCCGCTCCTTTGGCAGCAGCTCCTTTGGCAGCAGCTCCTTTGGCTTACGCAAATGCTCCACTGTATGCCGCTGGCGGCAGCAGCCAAATCGATGTACGCAACAACTTTGATGGCACACTTTCATCCTACACAACAACACCTTTCCAGTATTCCGGCCCCTTCGCAAGCCGTTATGTCTCCGGTGTTCCAGCTGCCTATGCTGCCCCAGCTCCAGTTTTGGCTAAATACGCTGCTCCAGCCGCCTTAGCCGCTCGTGTTCCTCTGGCTGCTTTGCCCGCGCCTTTAGCCGCTGCTCCAGCTCCTCTGGCAGCTTTGCCAGCACCTTTCGCCGCTGCCCCAGCTCCTCTGGCTGCCTTGCCCGCACCTTTGGCCGCCGCAGCACCATTCGCCGCCCCCTTTCCTGCTGCTTACGCCGCTGCCCCAGCTCCCTATGCGTGGTAAGGTAGATGGAATATGTAGCAAGTAACGAAAACTGACGACATTTTGCTTGCAAATTGCTGAAGCTTGAACTGATTAATTTGTTAAAATAAAAATAAAAAATATTTAGTAAAAAATGTTGAGTGTTTAACTTCAAGTAGTGCAGGTAGTAGCTTCTAAAGGTAGCTTCTAAAATATAAGATCTAGATGTTGTCGCCACATATATCAAAATGGATTGATGAACTCAAGAGAGAAATCGTGAAAGCCCGAGTTATTTGGAGGAGACACATGTACAGCAGGTCAAAGCTCTCAAGGAGCTTGCCAAAAAAAGATGATGATGATGAGGTTTATCTATAGTTCCATTTAGCTATTAAATGTAGCATTTAATGATCTAGATAATGTTTTCCATAACAGAACAATGTTCGGTACTATATGCTGAACAGTTCCGCAAGTCATTTGGGAACTTTGTGCGTACTAGCTGAGTTTTTGTCAACAAGTTGTTGTTGAGACAGGAAGGTGACAGGTTTGTTTGAAATTTTTGTTCGGCAAAGAAATCATTCGTAAGCCAATAATCAACGAAGGCGAAGAAATTAGAATTTTCAAATGAGAATGAAACTATATTTGCGAAAACAGAAACAAATATACAGAAAATTATATTCTTTTTTTTTCTTTCTTTCAAGATTTTTTCGGTATGCGAGAGCTCTGTACAAAATAGGTTAGGTTGAGCGGTTGATCGTGAGATGAAACTCACTTGGACAGCTTAGAACACCAACTTATATACTGGAATATAAGACTTTTTCAAATCGACATAGCGCTATGAGCCTGTCATAAATTTGTTGAAACGACTAAAGTCAGTTTCATCTATATCTTCTAGTTCGCCGTAGGTAAGACTACCTCTTGGTAGATACAGCCTCAGCCTCGCAAAAGCTGGACAACGGAGCATTCGTGAGGTCCATTGGTCCAATGCTAGAACGCAAGACCCAATCAATCCTTTCCCCGAAAGAGGCTACACTTTGATAACAGCAATTTCTGAATGAAACACTACAGCGGTCTGGTAGCTCAAAGCTAATATTGATCGAGAGCTCCTTACAGTAAAACTGTCCCTCCAACTTTCCCTCCTAGCTTCGAGTCATCCAAGAAAAGGTTCACTGCACCTTTTCTTAAGAGACTTTCCCTACTCACTTTTACCTCGTCGGTATGTAAGGAAAGAAAATGAATGACCTTTACGACACAGTGATCTTAGTTTTCAGGAATGTAGTTGAAAGATGAAGGAATTTCGGTGTGACCTTGTTCGAAGCTCCTCTGCGCCTTGGAACATACTGCGAAGCAATACCCAGGCCGGCAATGACTATGCCTATGAAGTTTAAAATGGCATCAAGTGATATTCTTGTTGTAGTCCGTGATATATTAGGTCGAAAAGTGTAATTTGTAAAAACTATAACTCTGCTTAATAGCATTTTTATATAATTTAGTTTTTATGCAATGAAAGCTTTTATTATCAATCTTTTTGACGTTTTCGTCAAATTAAAAGAAATGTCTACCCGACAATTAGAATATATGCAACAAGTGGTAGTGTCCAAAGACCCAACACTAGTCGGTCATCATACCCATGAGGTGTACAGTTTATACGACGACATTGACATAGTTCAGCGAACTAAGAGGCAGCGGCTACGCTGGCTAGGTGACGTCCTTCGAATGGATGAAAACACTCCAGCTGTGAGAGTATTCGACGCAGTACCCGCCGAGGAAAAAAGAGGAAGACTATCACTCCGTTGAAAAGACCAGGTGGAGAAAGAGCTCGCTGCATTTGAAATCTTCAATTAAAGTTTATTCTGACAACATCAATACTTCTCTTTCAGCCACCATCTTATCTCAGATTTGCATTTCCAAACGAAAGAGATGCTCTGCCAGATGAACCCAAAAAGTAGCGATGAAGATCTAGGTATATATAAGAGAGTGTGACGGCGATGTGAATAAAGAGGCAAGGTCAGTTTCGCACTCTCGTAAAACATTGTAATTGAGTAGCTCTCCAACTATAAAATTTGTATTATATAACTCTACTTAGCCACGTATAGCTCGCACCATTGACATACATCCATTCATTATGCATAAAAATTTAAACACAATGCAGACATTAGGCTTACATTATAAAATGCACATTACACTGGTTGACCTATGTCATAATTAGCGCCTAAAATACTAACACTTGTTACAACATTCCGCCAGCAATTAAAGCGAACTAATAGTTTACAAGTGAGTGGGCCTATTGCGCTTGTGAATAGAGCAAACCAATGTCTGCAACACTTTCCTTCACATTGAATACTAAAGAGCCGGTAATCGGCCGATTGCCACCGTTGACCACCAAAAATGGTCACCCACAATGGCTTAATGGCAATTGACGCCGCACTTCGTCACCAAGTCCAACAAAGTATTGGGTCGAAAGTGAAATGTGCAATCGTTGGTCGAGTAATTGTGTGTAATGTGAATTTTTTCATATAAATGGCCGCACTAAAATTAATAATTCATTAGCAAGATAACTTTTCCGTAGACAAGTGGGGTCTTTGGTAAAACAGCAGTAAACTTCAAACTCTGACAAACATAAGCAAAATGACGTCCATGAAATTCGTAAGTATACTCTCCTAGAGTCCTCTTGAACTTTTGAAAACCAAGCATACCTAAATACTTTTCAAATTTCAGGCTTTCGCTTTGCTAGCCATGGCTGCAGTAGCCGTCGCTAAGCCTTCGTATCCTCTTGCACTGAATCCAGCCATACCGGACCATTTCGAACTGGCTCCACCGGTACTGCCACCAACACATTTCCACGCAGCTGCACCCGCTCCCGAACCGTGGTTACCTGAACCGCATTTCCATGCTGCTGCACCTGTACCTGAGCCTTGGCTGCCAGCTCCTCACCTTTTACCTGCACCTGCTCCATTCCTTCCTGCGCCAGCGCCACTGTTTCCAGCTCCTGCACCAATACTTCCAGCTCCTGCACCAATTCTACCAGCTCCTGCCGCATTACTGCCAGCTCCTGCTCCAGTCCTTCCAGCACCTGCCCTTTTACCAGCTCCCGTAGTACATCATCATCACCATGTGGTGCCCGCTCCTCTGCCCGTACCAGTGCCAGTGTTGCAACCCGCGCTCGCTCCTCCAGTATTGGAACCTGCAGCATTTGTAGCTCCTTCATACCGTGCCGTGCTCGGTCCAAAAACCACCACCCATCACGTGTCAGTGGGTTATGCTTTCCCCACAGCGCATGTGTCTAAAATAGTGACGCCTCACGCTCATCTCCATTCCGTACCCGTGCACTCGGCTAAGTTATTGGCTCACCACCACCACCACTCACCCTTCTAATTTCCTTTGTTGCAAAGAAAAAGTGATTAATTAGAGGCAAAGTCATGTCAATATGTAAGAATATCACAAGCGAATAGTACCAAAGTCATTTATGTGTGTAAATACCGGGCATCAAGATGTCGGTATGTACATATATACCGTAGAGTTTAAGTTTTACTTTTACACGTTGTTAGTTTATTTAGCTTTTTTTTAATTTTAATATTTTTTTCCTATTTATAATTTGTAATAACAGTTACCTTTATATTGATTACACAATCCAAGTAATCGAATAACTAGTACAATGAAATAAACAAATAATATTATTGTATGTTCAAAGAAAATCGGGACTGGAGTTTTCCATTTAAATATAGAGACTTAGCGAATCTTTGCAGGGGTCAAGAGTTTGTGCATAACTGGAGAGCTCCTGTTCTCTCTATTCTATATAACTCTCTAAACTCAGAGCCTCCTGCAGACGTTTATTGAACAAGGTCCGTAGGAGGGGGTCAACTGACTACTGGGAGTTGTAGAAAACGGGACTTACGGTATACAAGTCCGAGTTGAGGAAGGCAAACATAACTTCATGGAAAAGCTTTTGCGAAAAATTGGAGGGATGTCACGAGTTCTCTAGATTCAGGCGTATTCTCGCAAAGAACCCCATCTCCCCGGGTTATCTTAAGGACGCAGGACGCTTGATGCTCACTTCCCGAGCAGCACCACCTCAAGTGAGATACCGCTCGGAGTACTTCAAGCCAATTGCGCGGCCTTTGTCGACCTTCTGGATGAACGGTGCTTCACCTAGGTGATCAATTCTTTTAAACCTTTCAAGTCCCCGGGATCGGATGACATCATACCAGCGCAGTTTCAACAGGTTGTTAAGGTGTTATGAAACTGGTTAGCACCTGTCTATTTGAACTGCATAATATTGTTTTACATTTCGTGACAATGGAGGCGAGTCAGAGTTATGTTCATTCCGAAGGCTGGTAGGGGTCTCCACGTTACAGTCAAAGACTTCAGGCCCATCAGCCTCTCATCTTCCTTACTAAAAACTCTTGAGAGCCTGATGGACTGGTACATAAAGAGGCGCATTCCGAAGGATCTTTTATCAGGAGCGCAATATGATTATAGTAATGGCAAGTCAGTGGATACCGCCCTGCATACGATCGTTTCCTCGCTTGGGGAAGTCATTGGGGTGACATTTTAATAACATAAAAAAAATTTCAAGAAAAAAAAAACATTTGTCGAGATACGGGCCGGTGGATTGGGGGCATCACAAAAACGGTGCACCCTAGTTGATTTCAACAGTTGTATAGAGCTCAAACACAAAAAACAAGAAGAATCTTCATTAGTAAGGATGTCGTTATCGCGTTGGCCATTTAAAAAAAAAATAATAATAATAATAATAACATAATGGCGTCGACTTGAAAAAGAACAACATTTTTTTTTTTTTGACCAGATCAAATCAAAATTTGTAGAAATTCAAGGCAGACACGTTAGAGCATTGTATAAAGAAGATATAAACCAAATTTCAAAGGAATAGGTTCAGTAGAACTTGAGATATCATGTCAACCAACTCAAAAAAAATAATTTCGAGAAAAACGCGTTTAAAGTTTAGGAGACAATTCTAGTGAACACGGACGCCACGTCACAAAATCGGCTGTATCTCCGATAACAAGCCGAATTTAGATAAATCCTTTCAAGGTCATAAAAAAAAAATCGATTTTTTAAAAAATCTTAGACCAGAATACCCCCTTAAGATATTATTTTAAGTGAAAAGCTTTTCATACAACAATTTGATTTTGATCGCTCAGTTTGTGTGACAACTATAAGCTATAGTGGTCCGATATCGAAAACTTCGAAGAACCAGCAATGACTTTGGGTTAAAAGGATGCATGACAGTCAGACAGATAGACCCTGATCATTTATTTTGGTATAGGGCACTACAAACCTCGGGGCAAACATAATATTCCCTGTTCAGGGTATAATTAAATTAGCTTTGAGTAATTTATATATATATTTATTGCCAAAATATAAATTAGTAATTAAGCAATCAATGAAATGGATCTTATTGATGTTAAAATTTACTTCCATACACAGAACTTCATTCATAAGTATACATTCCGATAAAAAAAACTACCCGGAAATTGAAAATTAATCGCAAGATATTTAATTATTCATCAATATTTATTTTGTCGCCTTCAAAGGAATCCGCTGCAGATGAAACACACTTATGCCGGCGGCTTTGGCAGTGCTCGAACACATTTTTTGGGAATTTGTTTCATCTCTTTGATCGATCGAAAACAGATTCCAAATCTGGTGAATACGGTGGTTGCTCGATGGTATTAATTGCGTTTTTGCTTTAAATTCGTACCCTTCTAGAAAAAATAAGCTTCAATGGGACCAGTCGAGCAAGAACGCGTTTCATACCCAAAATGTCCACCAAAGTCAATCAAACGGTCTCGCGAGAGATGTCGAGCCCTCTTTGTAATATTTGGCTAACATGTTCAAGCACCATATTCTTCACTTTTTTAATATTTTTATCAGTTGAAGAGCACGAAGATCGTAAAGAAAAAGGCATGTTTTCAACGATCTCTCGAATGCCTTTGAAGGCTTTGTACGACTCAGAAGATTGTGTTTTTGAGTCATCGTAGGCCTTTTCTAAAATTCGCAACGACTCCGCCTACGAAATTAAATCTCAACTCCTAATTACAGCTTATATGAAAAGGGAGAAGGGGTTTTGAGCGGTTAAAAATATCTTATGTGATCTAAGGCCAGTTATTTGAGAAGAATGAAGGAACATGGAAAATACTGTACTTAAACTGATATACCAAAATGTTTTGTGCCGTATTAAATTTATTTCACACCAAATTCCAACCAGGTGTGTTCAATTTGTCAAGACTTATATATACCACTTGGCTTGGCCGCCGACACCAACATACGAGGTTTGTAAAAAAAGTTTCGGGTGTTTTGAGAAACAAAGTTAAGTGCGCGAGCGCTTTGATGAGACTACCTTGGACAAAGGCGACGTTTATTTATGCAAGAAAATGTTAATCAGGGGGTCGAGAAAACATGAAGGACGCTGAGCGCTATTAAGCTTTTGCTAATAGTTTACTTCAATTGAAGAGACGTGGTGCATCATGAATCATACGGTCAGTAAAAAATGTTATCTGCAAATTATAAGTCATAAACGCCCGGATTGAGGAGATAAAAACGGCATCAAAACAGGAGCTAAACAAAATCACAAAAAATTACTGTTTTAAGTTCTTTGAGGATTGCAACACCTCAGAGTTATTACTTTGAAAGACAAACAAATAAACACTTTCTTATGAAATACAAAATTCGATGTACATTTTGAGCAAACCTCGTATATAAAGAAGTTGACCCGCTGCCGTTATCGAAATTGCATAAATTTCATAATTTCCCATTTCAATCGTATACAAATCCATATGTATAAGCATACATACTAGCAAATGGGTATATATTTATTAAGTGGATATATTTATAGCGTGGCATGCAAATGTTCGGGTAAAATAATTCACTCATTTGCAGCACGCAAAATTGGGCAACTCATTCGGCACGCAAGGCACGTTGCCAACTACGGTCTGGTTGAGCCATTGTTGGTCACAGGGTTGATGCAACCGACGTTGACGGTATACGCAAGCGTACGCACTATCAAATTCCCCTTATGCCCGAACTCAATCGCTTGCGAAAACAAGACACGGCGTAAGACGGCAGCAAAACGCAAAAGTGCAAAGTAAAGAATTGACCCCGAATACTACAGTGGCTTGTGTTGGCACAATTTGCTCACACTTCGCATCCGACGTTTTTCAAGAAACTGATGAAGGTGAAACTAAATTACTATTTCAGAGGTGAATGTCGATTCCACAAATGGCAATGGCTTACCTTTACAATCCACTAGTTTCACACTTCGTTTCAGTTGTTCGTTTGACATAAGTAAAAGCTACCTATATCCATTTTGCTTTATTCAAAGATTGATACTGGATGGATTCCTAGGATTATGGACCATTTCCATTTTTAACGCGTGTTTTCCAAATGGCTATTACCCCATTATGGTAGCTGTAAATTTATAGATACTTCATCACTTCTTGGATTCGAACCCACGTTTAATTCAAAGCATGGTCTAAGACCCTAGTTATTATATTGGTGTTTATAACAAGATAGGAACTCAAAGCTACGTAATCAGCTTTGCAGTTGCCAGAGAATCCGCTGTGACCAGGCACGAGTCTGACGATGGAGTAGTTAGATGTTATTTCTAATTAGGACAGACATTCCTTGACTAGCTTTGAGTGAGTGAGTTTAGCACAAGCATTGCCGCTCTCCTGTCGGAGTGAGTGCTCACCTCGCTGAAAGATGCCATACTTCATTGCAGTACGTCTATCGCCACCTTAGTAGCAGCTGATTCCGCCTGGAAAATACTACAGAGGTCCAGTAGCCTAAATCTAAAACGGAACGGACGGCAACTCCTTACAGGATAACTTCGCCAAAACCTTCCCTCCTATCCTCAACTGATTCGTGAAACAGCTCACTGCGTTTCTTTTTCAACGACTTTTTCCCATCAATAAATCCCTCGTCGGTATGTGAGCAAAGAAAACACTGCCTTGATAAGTTTGCGGTTTTAGATACATAAGTATAAATAAATTTTTTTTATATTATTTAAACTCTGTAGATTCTTTGATAATTTGTGGTATCTAATCGATTGATGATACCTACTAATTTAGAATATAATCAAAACACGTTACTGTACTTTAGAATGCAAATAAATTATGGTAAAATGGGATTCTGCAGTAGTTACTGAGTCCACTCAACTGCATTTTCTACACGAAGCTAAATCAAAGGAACGCGGTGGTTGCGGAGCGATATTGGTTGATAATTTGGTGAAGAACTTACGAAGAAAGAAAACCAAAAGTTTTCGGCCTATAATTCCGGCCTTTTTTTAAGTATAGCTTCAGAACAACGTATAACAGTCAAATAGTTCTCCTTTTTGTAAGTTTGGCTGGTCGGAAAGAATTTGGAGTGCATCACACCTCGAGAGTCGAAGAAAACTGTCAGTATAACGTTGATTTTTGGTCTGATTTGACGTGGTTTTCGGTTTCGGCTCATCTTTG